TATCATCCTCATCTCTATCATTATCAAGAACTCAAAACACCTTTCTGGTTAAATATGCATGACATCACATCTAGGATGTGTTGATACTATGTTGGAAAAAAGAAAAGCAAATGTAATATACGTCTCTAACAAAAAAACTTTCTACTACCCAAAGAAAAAGCAGATTGAAGCTTTGCCTCTTTATGAACGTGCATTAAAGATTTATGAAGACAGCTTTGGCCACATGCATCCTCGTGTGGGGGAAACACTGAAAAACTTGGCTGTGCTAAGGTAAGGTTATGTGCTCTGCCCTGTAAAAGCGAAGTACTACAAAAATTACTGGATGAAACAAAACATCCTGGGCTTGTGTGCTTGCTGGGGAAGTAGAGAGCCTTAAGTACACTATGTTGATAGCATGGTGTGTATTTCAATCTAAATGACTTGTTTTATTTGCTTGTTTCAACTTTGTTTTATTCTTTTCCAAAGCTATGAAAGGGGAGACTTTGAGAAGGCAGCTGAACTTTACAAGAGAGCCATGGAAATAAAAGAAGCAGAGACTTTGTTGATAGGTGGAAAAGCAACTTCTCGACACTCATCGAGTGGAGATACATTCAGCTTAAAAAGTGCATTATCACCAAACATTTTCCTGGAACATGGACAAAGGTGATATAAACCTGCCCCAGGAAGAGTGACTCTATTGCTATTGTGAAGCAGACAGAAAATTATTAAGACAAATTCATTTCCCAAGGATTATGTACTATTTTGGGACTGACACCTGTCTTCGTGAATGACAGGAAAACAAATGTTTCAGCTTGAAATTCTTCCATGTTAACTTTGTAGACTGTATGGTACAAAATGATTTTCTTTCATTGTATATAGGTACACATATTAGTTGCTAGCTCAAGTTATAGCTAATACCAAACACATGGACTCGATACCTCTTAGCCTAAGTGCCAGGATTATAACAAGTTAAGTGGAACCACTTGTATATACTCCATGAAGTAGTTCTTATTTCTGTGTTGTAATAGCATGGCTTAGAGGATTTATGTATTTTTGTTTCATCAATCCTTTCTGCCTTTTCAGAAGCCTTTAATGTTGTTTCTGAGGAGAAAGTAATTTTGAAAAGGTCAAAATACTGTTCCACCCAAAGGTTTACCTGCAGGGTGATTTCAGCTTTAAAGCAAACTTACATTCAAGGGACTTGTGCAAAATTAATTGGTTTCCTTGGGAAGCCAATATATCTAAAAATATCATGATATGCAGGTAAAGCTGTTGTCAGGTTCTACTCTGGTCAGTAACAATACTTCCAGTGTGGAATCGGAATGAAGATGATTATGGCCTGATTCCCTGTTGTTAAACCTTTAGTGATATTTTCACTGTGTAATCTGAATCCCTTAAAATAAACCAATGTTTGTATTAGCTGGAAAAACCTAGTATGCAAATAGTTTGCCATCTGATAAAGAGATGCTAATCCAATCTACCTGCCCGTTGTATTTCTTAACATTCCAGTCACCTGAAAGAATCAGTTTGGAGTCTGCTCTTATTCAGTGCATAAATTCATGAATCATCAGTCATGAATTTAAATACATACTAAAAAAAGACTTTTTATAAAAAAGTTGAATCTAAGTGCAAAATTAATCGAAACCTTACTATAATGTTTCAGAGGCAACTAATACAAAGAGTGATTTGATCCAGTTTGAAAAATGCACATGGCCTTCACCTCAGAGGGGTACTTACCTTCTGCAGTATTGCTTCCCTTTTGGAGCAGAATTAAATATAAACCCATTTCAGCCCTTCTTTTGGTTAGGAGGAATTTAATATTTTGGGAAGGCAAAACATGGCAAAAGAAACATTATATAAAACTGACAGCACAGATATAAATCCAAATTTGGTTTTTATGTTCGGAAAAAAATAAAAATAGCTCTTGAAGTTATTATGATACAGCAACAAGAGCTAACACTTTGTAATAGCTCTCTGGATGTCTTGCTCAGAAAACTGGGTTTTAATCAAAACAAGAGTTTTACCACTGTATTCCAGCCACCTTGAAAAGTTTTGAAAATTGGAAAGTTCTTTGCAGGACTGTTATAAGCTAAGGAGAGGGAAAAAAGGGAAAACAAATAAAAAATCCCAACCAACCAAACCCAAACAAACAAAACGCCCAAACCTCAACTTATTTTGTGTTTCTGTTCCCTGCCATTCTAAGACCTGGTAATTCCCACCTCTGAAGAGTTATCAGATGTCTGGTCTAGCTCTGTTCTGATTTTAACATTTACAGTGGTGTATCTTTATTCTCCTAAATGGTTTTCCTTATTGTTGCTAGTTTAAGAAGCTACTTTCTAGATCTTAACTGTTACCTCAGATTCTCCCCATTTAATTATTCCCAGTTCTGAACTGTTACTATTCTTCCACTGAGTGACTTCTCTCCAGCTTATTCATAGGTTGCAGGGCTGGTTTGGGAAATAAAAAATGGTTTTCCTAAAAAGTAGCAGGTGCCAACAATCCACAGTCCTTTAGCAAATACAGTGAGAAATCAGTATGGCTCTGTGAACCCAAAGGAAGCAAAAGAGGATCACAACTAAGAATACCATGGCCATGTGTTGGCCTCAAGCATCTGCAGCTGTAGTCATTGTGCACTTCCAAGACAGCTGCCCATGTAGTTGTACCTTATGGATGGTAAGGAAAAGTAATTTGTATATATGGCGTATGCCAGATAATACTTCTATGTAGGAAAAATTCCACATCAAAGAGAGGGTCATCAGTTGCAAGGGAGATTTAATTACAGTCAGAGTATCAACATCTAAATAACATTCATGAGACACCATAAAAACTGAAAACTTCCTTTTATAAGAGTGCCAAATAAGCAAACCTGGACTTAACCATGGCAATGTGCTTTGATTTGTTAGTGCATAACAAAAGAAGTAATAAATTTTCTATTATGTTTTACAGTTGGAGTAGATTATACTTGTAAATGTCTTTTTAATTAAAAAGATAAATCCTTGAAGCTGCTTTTTTGATGCTGTTTATTTTTAAATCATTTTAACCACTGGCACACACAATAATCTTAATCTATTTTCTGATTATTTCAAATTCTTCTTGTATATACAAGCTGAAAGTCTGAAAGCCACACAAGAACCACTTCATGTACTCTGTAATTGGGTGTACAAAAGTGTATTAATTTGGTCATAGAAGTGTACATGAAGCTGCCCCTCATAAAGCTGTCAGTCACATGGTAACTGGCTGACACGACTGCTAAGGAGTCAGGACAAACTGAACTGTTGCAGAAATAAGTTAACCATTTGCATCAGGATCTCCAGAGCGAGACGTATGCCTCACTTTTATTGTTCCCAACAGAAAGGTACAGTCACAAAGAAAGGTAAGTAACACTTAAATTGACACTTGGCTCAAGCTAATGTAGACTTAGAGACACAGATTCGAGTCTGTACCTTTTTTATGGTCTCATTATTCTATTTCCCATCCCTCTTTACAGTTCGTTCTACAATCTGGTTTCTCCAAAACTGAACTCAATCAAAAAAACCCCACTTCTATTTTACAGTATAATGCACCATACTCAAACCCCACCCAAACCCTCCCTTACTGCTTCAGAGATGATTTTTATTTGTGTAATATGACCTAATGTCAGCTGTGGAGGAAACATATTTTGAAGTTTGCAACCGTTGCTTAGAAATGAAACATAATTTATCAGTTTAACTCAGTGTTCATTCAGCTGCTCTAAGAAACAGAAGCACTGCCACAATATCCCTCTCTTCACATGTTGGTGGGATACTGCTACTACCACTACTAGCTGGTTCTGTGTTGGCTGCATCATGCTGTGAAAAGTTTTTTTGCAGAGCCCAACTCGGAAGTATTTGTATCAATACTGCAAACGCTGAAATTTACCTTCTTCTAAGCCAAACTGAAATGACAATCAGGATCAGATGCCCTCAGTAGTTAACATATTTGAGACTGATACTTCCAGTTGTGCAGGGTACTGGCACTACAGGAGGTGCACATTTACAGGTCAGTTTAACATAGGGTAATTTAAAAGGCTGTATGACTGAACTACTGTTATTTACAAGACAAATACAACAGCTCAGTGACTCCACTGAAGATATTTGCAACATTAGAAGTTTAGAGCATCTAATTTTAGATTTCCTATGCAAACTCAGATTTATATTCCTTGATAAGGCCCATATGATGGGGAGGGATCAGAATTGCAGCTAAAGTTTTGGTAACAAAAAAACACCAACTTAGATTTTCAAAGAGATAGACAAAATCTCCTGTTCTTTCCAATGTTGCTCATAATTCTGTCACGAAAAGCATCTGCCAGCTGAAATAGTGGCATGCTAATACCCAGTCTGCTAATATAAATACTAACAAAGGACTTCACCTTCTTACAATATACTCAAAACATTTTCATATACAAAACATGTAGCCAGCTATTTCAGGACGAGCAGTAGTAAGATGTTGATAAGACAGTTTTTTAAAAAAATCCATCCCAGAGATATTTAAGGCAGATGAAAAGGCTAACATGTTCTGATTACTCAGAAAATGTAGCCACAGCACGATCCATGCCAAGAATTCAGACCAGTGAACAACAACCAAGCACAAGTGCCTGGAAAAGCAGGAGCAGCAACAGGAGTGAGGTACAATCAGGTGCTCTACACCTACTCAGGCTGTTCCAGCAGATCTCACTTCTTTCATCTGTTGTATACTATGTACTATTCTCACCACATGATAGTGCATATCATGTGCTATATCTGCTTTTGTTAGTTTATCCATCTCCTTTTATTTTCTACTGAACATCTGGACACTAGCAATGCTGAGAAACTAAAATTTACAGTAGCACAACTCTATATGTTAAAGATCTGAATAGACAACAGAATACAAACAATGAAGTCTGTGTCCTTCCTGCCCCTGTAACAGTTCCATTCCATCAGAAAGGTAAAGGTAAGCTGCAATGGATGTAAAAAAAGAGAACCAGAAACAAGTCTGGTCTTCTCAAAATCCAATGATCCAAAGTTGTACTTAATATTTGGTTTTCTACATGTTTCTCATTTTGGCCATAAGTTCTTCTAGGGTTTCTTCAGACTCTGCTACTGTTTCCTCAGTTATTGAATTCTCTTCCTATTAGGAACAGGAAGAAAAAGTTGTCAACAAAAACAGCAAACAAACAACCCCACACAAATAAGCTTTATTGCTGTTCCACCACACTGTTTTCCTAGAACCAGGCACTCCATGGTCAGATTAGCCCTAAGCAATTATAAACCTACATTATAAACTATTTTGGTTGGGAGTTACAGTGTTTTGGCTGCATAGAGATTCTGTGTTCCCCAGGTATACTGATTACTCTTTGACTACATACAGCTTCTACAAGACAAATATGGTAAGAATGATCTCATCACCAAAATATCAACTGAGAAATTCACATTTGTTTTCCTTTCCCCAGCCCCCAACTGCATATGTTCCTGCCACCTCAGAAGTACATTGACACTAGCATCTGTACTTAAGGAAATACATTTAATAGAAACACAAAACTGTACCACAGATGGCACTAACCAGAGGTACTGAGGCCCAGTTTCACTGGAATTGTTCAAGATGGAATTTTATTCTAGGTTTAAAGGTATCCAAACTGGCTGGTATTATAAAATTAATCTACAACATGTATTTCAAAAATTTATAAAGAACAAATGCAGTACCTTGTTTGGGATAGTATATGCTACAGTAATTCCCTCAGGAAGCTCAGGTACTGGGCCAGATGCAGCCTTCAGCTCCTCTTCTGAAATTTCTGACACTAATTCGATACCTTTGCATTAAAAGGAAATAAGAACTCCATTTAAAGTTAGGAAAAAAAGTTGTTTAATCATCAAATTATCACAGTAAGAGGAAAACTGCAGCCACTTTTCCCAAACAGAAAGAATTTAAAAGCAACAACTTCATTCTAGTATCAATATAAAATATTTTCTCTTTACAATATATGAAATGGTTCTTTACAGGTAACTTATGGACAAGGATGGCACCTCCTCCTTGTCCTTACCATTTAAATCCTATCATGAGGACACTTCTCCCAAAGGTAAGATATGATTATTTTCTAGATCATGTAATAAACAGAATGTGTATCTCCATTCTTGAAATGGTTATATAAAACATGTTTATGATTACTTAAGGCAATTTCTTTTAATGTAGAGCCCTCATAAGAATACAAAAATCCATGGGATGCCTCAGCACAGTGGCTGTGGAAAGGACAAATGCTCTTTAGTTATGTATTTAAAAGGAACACACAGTTATTTCATCTTCTCACACCTCACCCTCAGACCATCTTCTGAGGAAGTTTTCTATTCAAGCAGCAGTTGTGTTTTGAGCCTAAAACCTGCACACTGCACCAAAAAACACATCCTCAAGTTGTGGTAAAAGTACTGTCAAAGCCTGTGAAAAGGCAGCAGTAATTACAGTGTAAGTTACAAAAAAATAGGAACTATAAGAATTTGATGTACACTACAGTGTGTTCATTCAAATTCAATCTTGGTACTGAGAACATCATTTAGTCTCCAGCTGTTAACTTACCCCAGTCATTGTCCTCGTGTACAATTTCTTCCTCCTTTTCAATTACTTCTTGTTTTGGTCGTGCAGCTTCTTTTTTCTGAAGGAAAACCACAAAAAAGATAAAAACCATAATTATGTCCAATATATGTCTTAATTTCTAACACCAGAAAAGAAGATCAAATCTAATATTCACCCTTCTTCAATATTTAAGATATGCAGTCATCCAATATACGTCTTAATTTCTAACACCAGTAAAGAAGATCAAATCTAATATTCACACTTCTTCAATATTTAAGATATGCAGTCACCACTAAGAACTTTGTTAGGCATAAAAAGGCAGAACACTTGCAAGTTAAAAAAAACCACCAAAGCTATTAACACTCAAAAACATGACTGCCAGAAAGGTTGAGCAATTATGCAGAAGAAAATAACGTCTTAATTTCTAACACCAGTAAAGAAGATCAAATCTAATATTCACACTTCTTCAATATTTAAGATATGCAGTCACCACTAAGAACTTTGTTAGGCATAAAAAGGCAGAACACTTGCAAGTTAAAAAAAACCACCAAAGCTATTAACACTCAAAAACATGACTGCCAGAAAGGTTGAGCAATTATGCAGAAGAAAATAATTATCTAACTAAATACAAGCCATTCTGCCTACCCTTTGCTTTCAGATAACGCTAAGCACTGTATGTTTAGAAACACATGCACTATCTGAAAAGGCGGCTGCTGAAAACTGGAGTAGCAATGAACATTTTCGTATACTACACATCTGTAGCTTCCTTTGTTCTTGAAAATTTAAGAAAGGGAAAAGAAACCCAAGCCCAAAACATTTTTACCTTATAATTTTCTTGCTGTTTTCTGCAGTTGTGGTCACTACATTGTGGGTTTGGCTTCATGGACATAGTTGGGAAGAAATCCTGCATTGCATTGTAACCGAGGTAGTAACTGACACTACCAAAATTTAACAGGTATCTAGAAACAAAACCAGAGAAAGCAGGAACTTATATACAGGTGCAAACCTAGAAATTCAGTTGCTCAAGGAGTAATTTTTCCTCAAAGAACTTTTAGAATACACTTCCACACTGGTGCAGTTGTAGAGTTACTGTAATTGTCTTAAATCCAGTTATGCTGTAATCTCCAGACAGCCACATAACTGGATCAATACAGAATCCTATCCTCATGTGATGTGTGAGAATAAGCTACAGTCTCAGAAAAGATATGTTTAGGTTAGTATGTAGTATGATTAGAGTAGTGTGATGTTTTCTCTCATGCCTTAATCCATTGCTTGGTACACCCCAGTGCCCTGTACTGCAATGGGGGAGTTTTCAAAGCTAATCAGAATTAGTTTAATCATCTTTATTGTAGGGTCAGATTTGCAATCAAAATAAAGATTCGAATTAAGCTGCAATGTTTGCAGTCTTTGTTCAAGAGAAACACCTCTCTCTGCACAGCTGAAGAGGGAGCTCTGTTGTTTATAGCCACACCTGCAAACAGCACTTGTATTCCCTGTAAACAGAAATTTTTGGGTAGTGGACAAAACCAAGGTAAGGCTAAAAACAGGCTAAATAGGATCTTATTCTCAAAGATGCTTGTAAAACACTGTGTGCATCATTTTGAAACTGAGCACAAGGTTGTTGAAATATTTTCCTTGCTGCATGCAATTCTTTCAGCAGTTGGAGTCATGTGACAGTACTTTCTGAAAGTATGTCATTTTGCTATGTAAGTATTTTTAATTCACCTCAGGTTTTAGAATACAAACACTGCAAGAGAAAGTATTCAGTTTTAAAGACAAGACAGCACTGTAGCATTTTTTGGTGTATAATTTAATGACATCAAATCAGAGCATGTTTAAATACACATTTTGTATGCAGTAAAAGAAATTATTTGTAAAACTCTGAAGACTTTTTCTTACCCCTAAAAGGTTATATTAAAAGTGGCAGCTCCAAAGTAAACAGACTAGTGATTCAAGCAGTGTTTATTTCAGCCCTGTCCAGTGATGTCAATACCATTAGGAAACAGGCCACAACATACAGAAAGAACCAGACTTGTCATTATAAAATGTTCCTTTAGGTTTTTCTCTTACTGTGCTGTACATTGAATAGCAACAACTCAGTCACTTACTTCAGAACGTTTTGTACTAGCATTCCTACAACACCCATAGTTGTAGGAAGACTAGCTGCACAAACTCCTTCTCGTTTTAACGTCTTCTCATCAATATTTGCAGCAACTACAAGTGGAGGAGCACACTGAGGGCAAATAAAGAAATTAAGTTGAAAAGAAGTATTAAAGAAATCCCACGGGTCACACAAAATTTAAGCTACGGAATCAGATGTGCCAGCTCATTTCCATATTCCCAGCCCCACTTTTAAAGACAAATGAGCAATTCAGCAGAGCACTGCATACCGCAAAACAAGCAGATTCACCAGGTATGATCAGCTGTATGTGTCCTGACACTGCATTTTCACTCACTCCAGACTCCATCCAGATTTGTCCAAGTTCATTGCAGGCCTTAGAGACACAGAAACACACACACACATCAGCACTGCAGAAGATTAATGAAAAGAAACCCAAACAATGTGGTAAACCGAGAGTGATTTAAACACATTCAAGTCCCTGCTTTAAGACCTAGGCTGTGATCAGAAAAAGGGACATGGAGAGAATAGAAATTATTTATCAGATTCAAAGGAAAGAAAAGCTTTGTGCTTTCCTGAGGACCTGAGATCTTTGAACAAATACAGGCATTATTTACTACCACACTAGGGGATAGAATTGCACAAAGCTTTAGAGGCTTGGATGCAGTGTATCTGTGTACCTTCCCTGACTGCAATTTATGGATCAAGTCAGCTGAAGGATAACAGAAAACATGCATTTGGCCTATACCCTACATTGGCTCCTACTACAAACAGTTAGATTAGGTACACAGCATTAAGTAACTTTTAGTATACAAAAACTCACATGAAGTATACAATTAGCTACAGACAGTCTTTAAAAAGTTTGTAAGATTTAACATACCATCCTTTGAAAATACCTTTATATAAACAGGATAATCTGTAAAGATACAGGGAGCTTATGACACTTAGCTCTTTTACTAACCATTAGCTGCTAGTCACGTAAAAGTCTAGAGTTATATTTATACACGTGTTTTGTAAGAACTGGGTAAAAGCTCAGATTCTGTTTCTTTAAATCAAGTAGAACACTTCTTAGAAGATTCTTTGTAAGTTCATTTCTTTTCCATAGTCCCCACAATTTCTAACATTATTTATAGGAGAAAATAGATTTCCAGAAGCTCATGCCACGATGCCCTTACTGTGTTAATTGCCATGCGAGCTTCAAAGTTGTCCACGCAGCTCAGAACGAGATCAACAGGTTTCCCTTCCTCCAGAGCCCCGTTACTGAAAAAAGCACCAGAGGTTTGCATGAAATTGCTGGCAGAACAAAACACCAGCATGGCAATCAACATGATGCTTTTGATTACACAAGCCCATGGGAAATGCATTTCTAACAAAACTTGTGCAAATGCAGAACAGGATACAGCTAGTACCTGAGATCTACAGTAGAAACAAGAGCATGCTGAAGCTGGGATTTCAGTATATGGGCATTTTAGACTCACAGAAGTTTCATGTAGTGTACACTCAGTACAAAGTGCTGAAGAATTGTACCTTTGTACAAACAGAACAAGTTATTTCAGATCTTCTCTGAGATCCACTAATAACTACTCTCTTTCTTCATTCTATAAAACATAACTGAAATCACCAGAGCAGTCAAATATGTTACCATAATGGGAAAAGCCTGTAACTCCTACAGCTTTGTCTGAAAATCTAAAGATGCAACAATATAAAATATAACTGCATAAGAGTTGAAATAAATACCAACTCTAGGCAGGAATGTCTTCATATACAAATATTTCCCAGTAGTTTTCAATTGAAAGTTCTCAAAAAAAACCCCCACCTCAACAGTAAAAATGTGAGGCTGTATAGAACCACAGATCAGCAGTGACATGCTTTTGCCAAGAAATTTTACCTTATTCTATCCATGAAGTGTTCAAAGTTGTCAAGTGTTGTGATGTTGTAGTTATGTACTTCAAACTGAACATCAGGATTAATATCCCTTATGGAGGAAATAGTATCAGTCAATAGTAATGAATACAATAACCTGTATTCTACTCCATAAATTCACAAATATTCCTACAGCCTTAAGTTTCCACCCTGAACTCTAAAATACACCCATACTTATCCAAAATTCACAGATTAGTTGCAAAAAAACCCCACAACATATCCAAGTGGCATAGTTTATACCAAACTTCTGAACAAAACTAGCTGTACTTAAAAAGTAGGCTCACATTAAGGTTTTGGCCAGTAAAAAAATGTCTTTAAAGTATCGATCATCCCCACATTTGAGTATTTTATACTCAAATCCCCAAATTAGATCATGCTACTTTGCAAGTGATTAACAGTTTTCTGGAGGAGCATCCTGGGCAAATACATTTTAATACCCATTTGTCTAAGTTATACCTCAAAGTATGCTCTGCTGCTTGCACTTTACTTAATCCAGCTTGATGAGGTTGGAAGAAGAGTCTGTTCATGTTTGCCAATTCCACTTTGTCATAATCAAACAGAAGCAGCTGCAATAAAGATTGCATTAACATGGGTGAATCTCCAAGGACTCTGCAACCAGAGCACTATGGCACAGCATTTTGAGCAATAAAACTAATTCCAAAACCAAAGAAACAAACAAAAAAACCCCCTCAAACCAAAAAAACCAAACCAAACTCCCTCCACCCCCACAGGCCCATTCAGTTCATGTACAAAAGGTACAAACATCACAAGTACATGAAAAACTGAACCAATTTGTTAAGTCATCCAAATTAATAAAAGGCAATCTGTTCACATGCTCTAAACTAAGAATATTCAACAGATTAATCTACATGAACACTATCACCTCTGTTATCACATTCCTATTTGCTGTTACGACATAACTAGAAACATGTCATTTCTTTCACTTGTCTTGGCACGTAGTCCTTCAAAAACAATTCACTTAAAATACCTACATAATAAACAGACATGTTGATTATTATAAAATCTGAATCAACTGTCCAATGTCCTTTTCTCTGGCCAAGATGCTGTTCTTCTGGAAATGCTCCTTCAGAGGAATAAACTTTTCACTAAAAAAATTGAATCACCTCTGTGTGATTCAAAAGTTATTAGAGTAAATGGCCAGGTTATCCCAGAAATAAAAACATCTAAGCCATTGCCCAAAGTCCTCCATTAAAGAAAAACCTTGTTCTATTAACTCTGGAGGTTCTTGTTATCTATTACATGCATCAAATTATTTTTAAGTGCTGCTAAATTTTTAGGTCTAAGTCTGCCACGTGACAAACTAATGTTTGTGATAAAGATATCTATTTGACATCCACCATGTTTCAATTTCAGGAATATCAACTTGTGCTCGTAACATAAGACTTACCCTGCTATGCAAGTTACCCTCTCCTTTTCCTTTATTTTGTTTTCAGTTTGCAATAATCCAGTTAGGACAGATGGGCTCATAAAGGAGTACAGAGATGACAAGCATCCATCGTGAATCACTCACATCATATAGGGTTAAGCTCTATGTAATTAAATGTTATTAGTGTAAGAAAAACACAGACTCTTCCTGTGCAGTGTTTACACAAGTGCTGGTCTTGAGTGCTTTCTTCAAAGCATGTTTTTATTTAGGGTAAGATCAACTGAGAGAAATCAAGCTCTTTATGAAGAAGACTGATCCACCTAATGTAAAGAAGTAGAAGACAAAAAACTCTCATTACCTTACCAATGCCACACCTTGTCAACATTTCAGCAGTCACACTGCCAACTCCACCTACACCTACTACTGCAACTGTAAAGGTGCGGATTTTCTGTAGGAAGAAATAAATTGCAGATGAGTATATCAAAAATGATCCACCCACGGAAAAAAACACAAGGCTGTGTTGATGCAGATGGAATCCTACCTCATAGTCTTTGACAATTCCCATTCTTTTTAATGCCATCAAGCGACTACAAAGAAAAAAGACAACATTATACAGAAAATGCTCTCTATGTTTCTAGCAGTGATTTTTCAGGTATTTAAAAATGGTTTTACTTCAAAAATAACCCCACCAAGCACCAAACTCAAGGCTGCTGTTTTCATTGCAGCAGTGATTGCCAGCTAGGTAGAGCCTGAACGAGAGAGCAGATGCTTTCCTATTAGCAATAGATACAGAGTACTAACCCTGCAGAAACTCATATACTTATTCGGTTGGTATGAGTAATGTTGATGAAATCAGGAAGACCCACAGCTATTTTTGTAAATAAACTCCTGATTTACAGAATGAAAAGGGACACTTTGTACTTCTGTAATGAACCATATGGCAGCAAACTAGTGAAGACTTGCACTGTTCTCTGATCAATTTGATTATATTAACTACAACATAACATTAAACAAAACAAATAAGTAGAGACTATCAGGTTTTGAGGATAAAGGAATGGATTTAAAAGTAACATTTTATCCTGCTATTGCATTTTTTCCACTGAAAGTATGAATGAAAATGCAAGTATCAACTTGTATTAGAGCAACTCATCCTGAAAGAAGAAAAAAAAGGCATCAGATTTCCAGAAGGGAAGGGGTCTCTGATGCTCAAGACTTGTCTAAACCAAACTCCAAAATAGTATGTTAGAGGAATGAGAATAAGGCCTCATGTAATGTGAACACCTGTCCCATTTGTTAGCAGCTCACCTGAAAACCTCAAAAGGTTTCCTCTCTCTCTCTCCTTGTACTGTTAAGCAAGACAATACATCGTAACCCTGAACTACTGCCCTGCCAGCCCACTCGGGTGGGAGATCTGACAGCCTCTCTCCTCTCCTCTCCACCCCACGGAACACTCGCCTTCAGCACAGCCCCGGCACCCTCCCGGGCACAGACCTAATACCTTCCTCGGCACTCCCAGCCCTATCCATTCGCCCCGAGCCTCTCCGCATACCTCTTCCCTTCACCCAGATGCACAGTTCCCAC